ATGCTCAACCGTACTTTCATGTCGGCAGGTACTGAGGGAGCCCTCGACCCGGAGCCTTGGGTCGAGGAAGAGTATATAGAGGAGAGAGAGCCGGCTATTCCATTACAGTCTCAGGCGGACCGAGACCTCGATGCGTGGCCATACCTCGACTACTGTTGAGGGGAGAGTATGAGAGGGTCTTGTGTATTTTGATATTTTGATAGGTGGGCCTGTCCACCTTAGATTTAGACATGTCTTGTACTTATGTTAACTTAGAATACTATTTTGGATCATCAGGAGAAATGAAAATTTGTTTATGCTTCCGCATATATGATAGCTTCCGCGCTCTGATTATCGTTGTTAGTACTACATTTTATCTTGTGCATTACAGGATGGTTTGATAGGTACGCAGTGTGACACCTAAAATATCCCTAAACTCCTAGGGGGTATTTCGGGGCGTTACAACCCCAGGGTCTTCTTCTAAGCTGACCGCAGTGTCCCCATGTCCCTTTTAATTCTTGTTTAACCATGGTTAAACTTAATTAAATTAAAATAAGTATTTTTGTTTTTTGTTTTTTGTTTTTTTACAAAAAGCATGGTTAGATTGCTTAACTCTAAGAAGCTAACCACAGTTGATGGATGGTAAAAAAAAGGGGGTTGGACCAATGAGTTCACTGGTGTCAGCTTCTAAGCTGACACTGGTGTCCGTTTTCCATTTCCGACTAGAAATGCGAATTGCCAATTTGCTTAGCAATCTATTTTAGGGTGGTAATGCTAGTCAAACTCTCCAGATAGAGCCATCAGCAGGTGAAGCCTAACAGGCAGTTGTGGTTGTGGTTGTGGTTGTGGTTGAGGCCATCTTATATATTTTTTGTTTAGAGGTTGATGGTTCAAGGATAATGCTTCCGACTTGTGAGGCCCAAACTTTAAGCCAAATGTTGTCACATTAACATGGAGGTGACGCATCACTAGAAGAGGTGTGGTTTAAAGACAACCTTTTATACCCCACAGGGGACCCAGTCTTTCAGACTTATACAGGCCGATGAATCTTTCATTTTAAAAAAAACAATTAATGCTTATAAATTTTGATTCTTATAATTAATTTTGTATAGTCAATGTGTTTAGTAATTGTTAGTTAGAAGCAATAATGACAAAAGAAATAACAAAATAATGTTTGGAAGAAAAAAAAAAAAGACATGATTATTGTAGGCATGCATTAAATATGGTTATATTCCTCAACACACTTGCAAGTATTATAAAATAATAAAAATTTTATTATGTCTCGTCTATCTCATCAATTTTCTTGCTTATATCGTTAATTTTATGCATGTTTTTTATAATTAATTTCGAGAAACAACTTTTTTTGTTTCCTTAAAATTTTGCCTAAAACGAAATGATTCTTAAATTATTCCCTAAAAATGAGTTGTCAAATGCGTTTGCATTGTTTCTGTTCCCGGGAAAGGAAAATTGTTCCCGGTGAACCATATCAAATAGCTCCATAGCCGTCGACTGGATCTTTAAGATGTGTCAGTTGAAGGTACCATTGTACTAATCTAACTCATGCCCTACTAACCTTAACTAAATAACGACGGATATCAAGAAGAAGAAAATTTTAGATCAAAAAATAGTTTTAGATGGCTTCGGATTACCTCGATTTGGTGGACGCTTGAGGTCCACCTCAGGAATCCACACATCAATGGACATGTGGCGATAAAAAAGGGGGAGAAATAATTTCATTTTCTCCCCATGATTTTGACTTCTCCCCATTTGATATCTCTTCCCTGTATATCACCACATGTCCATTAATGTGTGGATGCCCGAGGTGGGACCTCGAGCATCCAGCAAAGGTACTCAATCTGAAGCTATTTTAGATACCAACACTTTTTGGTGTAGAAATACTAATATTTTTGTAAGATGCCAACTTGTTGAATTTTCTCCAAATGACTAAAGTTACGTATGCTTAAGTTGATCTCCGAGACGCGTATGATTGTAGGACTTGAAAGTAGGTTAATAACTTCTGGGAAAAAAATTTTGGCTTACCTAGCGGAAATAAAAAAAAGAAAAAAAAAAATTGTCACCTTGATCAAATGGTAAAGGGTAGAGATGTTGATATTCTAAACAAGGGTTCAAGTCTTGTCATCCTTGAATTTTCCCTAAATGACTACATTTATGTTTCCTTAGGCTAATCACCGAACCTTGTATAATTGTAAGACTTAGAAGTAGATTACCAATCCTTTGAAAATAAGCTTATCTGATAGAAATACCAAAAATCAAAAACACCAAGTGCAACACAAAGGCTGTGACAGTATCCTACACGATCCAGAGTTCGAGCCCACCCCTGGACTTGCTCGATGATCGTGATTTGCATGTTATTGCACACATTCTTTGAGATTATTTTCGATCTAAATGGGTTGGGGACACCCCATGTTACCCTAAAAAAATCCAAAATCTTCGATAAGAACACACCACCTACAAATGTTTTTGAAATAAACAAGGGTTTGGTTTAGTCTACGATATTATATTTTGGCGAAAACATAAAGTACGTGCCACTTAAATGAGGAATCAAATGTCAAAATACCAAAAAGATAATTTGCTCTCCATTTACATCTAGCTTTAGGAATAGGGCTGTCTCGCACTAACTGCGATATACTAAATTGGTACACCATAAAAGCAATTTAGTACCGCCCAGACAGGTGGGCCATATTGGGCACAAAAAAATATGCTCAACTCTTTTTCTTTTTTCTTTGGTGGGCCCCACAGGATTGGATATCATGTACCTACGTTAGTAGAAGTCAGAAGTCAGCTTGGTAGTGGAGCAGTTGTAACTCGTACCTGGGGGATAAGATCCCCCTACCTCCCCCTTAACTTAACATGTTTAAATTATGTAACCAAATGGTCATTTCTCATTGGTTCAATTCCCATTTTTTAACACTAACTGTAGTTAAAATTCACGCACGGGGTAGGGTAAAGCAGTCCAACCTTGCTTTTTTAGAAAAAGAAAAACTAGATAGGGTACCACATGCTAAAAGAAAAGAGCAATAATCCCCTCGTCGGCCGAAGAGGGGACTATTCCTCCACACTCTCACATAGCTGACCCTACTACTCCCATTAACTCAGGTTAGTTTTATTTAACCCTTTAGTTAATTTTTTTATTTTATTTCTCTAAAAACTAAAGGAGATGGATGGATGGGTAGATGAATCTTTAACACAGTTAAATGAGGTTAGAAGGGGGACACGTGGCAAGAGGTGGAAGCCGAGACTCCCCACCTTACGTCACCGACCGAGGTGATTATTTTCCAAAAGAGAAACCAATAAGTCATAATTGACAACGACGCAAGATGGTTTTTCGACCGCTGGCGAATTTTCAAATAGAGACGGCGTAGCCATGTACTTTTAAGCGTACCTAGCCGCGCTTGGTATCTTACAAACACTTCTGCTAAGTAATAATGGAGTCTGTTCATGCAAAATCTAAGGCTTTCTTTGCTATTCTTCTCGTCTTTCTCGTTTTCAATTGCTTCGGGGTGTTCAGATCTATTGCCCAACTTCTACCGGAAGATGAAGGTACGTAAATGATTCTTACTTGAAATCCATTATATTTATTTATTTCTATCTTTTGGCGGAAGTTTTGGCTTTAAAGTGAAACTGCTGATTTTTTTCTCGGTTTTATTTGAACAATTTTGATGAAATCTCCTCTCTTAAGCTAATGGTGTTCGTTGAAATTTGTTAGAAACTGTGTCTTGTTTTAATTTACCTACTTAAACCCATAAGATTTCTCAACTTACATTTTTTTTTTCTCATTATGTTTCTGGAAATTCAAGGATTCTTGTTTAATATCCATCCAAAAATCATTGTTGATACTTTGGTTTAGATATGTTAATAAATAATAAACGGCTTCGCTGTTGTCTTCAACCACAAGAGATGAATTAAATATGTTAATAAACGGCTGGGACTGCATCTGGGTCTGATGGGTCTGGACTAAGCCATTATTGGGTGTGGGTGCACAAGATAAAGAGTTTGGAGGAGAATGAAATTTGTAAGAATTACGTAGGATCATTATTGTAGATCATTAAGAAGAGGCAGTTGTGGATGTAAACCATCAGCATATATAGGTTGACCCTCCTTAAACCAGATTCGGGTGATAGAAATTATTAGAGAGTTACTTTCTACATACTCTTATCTCTGTTATATAGAGATAATCACCCATAATCAGTGCCTTTCTAGCTACTTATAACCGACACCTTTATAACTGTTGTTATACCATCTGGTCAAGGGTTTCGGATCCCTTCATGATGAATCAACTAAATGACTATTACAGTCAATAATTCTAAAAGATGGAGGAGTGTAGGACTTCCATCATGATCGGGAATGAAAATGTTATCAAAAAAAATATAAGAATTTGTGAGTTTTTAAAGAAAATTACAGCGGTGAGAAGATTTTGAAAATGTGCTTAGAATGTTGTTGAGTCAAGTTGGGTTGAAGGAAGAGTTTTCGGTGTTAGATCTGAGAATTAGGGATTATTCTTCTCTTTTCTCTATTCACTAGCGCTTTACTTTGAAGGTGAGAAAAAGATGGGATATTGAGTGGAGATGAAATTAAACTGGGTGCACCTATTAAAAATGATAAAACTAAAAAAATAAAAAATAATAATTAATGGGATGCACTCATCAAATATTCTCTTTTGCTGATTACTTATACAATTATATTTATGCACCTTTTTCTATTTGCATTAAAGAGATGTCGACCCACCCGTTTAATTGGTCTTGATTAATAAATAGGTGGGCCAGAGTGTTTGAGATTTTTGTGAAACACATGCTTTCTTTCTCGGGGAAGGTTCATTGTCTTTTTTTTAACCTTTTGAGCGACTTGAAATTCTTTACTATTATAACCGGACTCCAAAGAGTCTGGTTACAACCCACAAGCCGCATGTCCCTTTTAATACCTCTTAATTGTGGTTAATATTTATTAATTCTTAAGGTTCAACCATTTAACCTTGGTTTTTTAAAAAATATCAACCACAATTAAGGATTAGTGGGAATCGAACCCACATCTTCTCCATAATAAAGAGAAATTTTACCATTCGACCATATCCGCATTTTATTTGTTCTGATGAGCACATATATGTCCACACATATATGACACTAGCTAAAAAATGAGAAATTTAATTTTTGTTACATGAATCCAATTTTGCATTTCATCCTTAGAGAATCTAAAGTCTTTTACTGCGCTAAGTCCAACTACAATCGATTAATTTTGTCACAATCAATCATGATAATGTAGTGGTCGTTGCACCATGTAGCCATGTAGGTAGATTCTGCCTTGCACCATGAACCATGCATCGATCGTAATTCGTAACTTATTGTAATCACTAGTCATTTCATGCGGAGCCATCTCTTGGGTTAGCTTACTTGGGTATGAGTAAGGAGAAATGCTAGACCAGTAGCAGACTTTCAATTTCTCAGTAATCAATCGACCAAATCCCCATATTTTGTTTCCATTATCGGGACTGATAACAATGCAACGACGCTATCTCATGCTCCCAAACGGCACATCTCATTCTATTTACCAAGTCGAGACCAATGGTGTGAAACCCGAAGTCAATCGATGCCAAGTTTATGGTTCACATCTTTTTCTGCAATAGATACGAGGGAAGGTGTCCTTTCAATGGCCATTCTAGGTGCCAGAATTCAAGGTGGGTTCATCAAGCGATCAGCTTTCCCACCGTCAGATGAAAACCTCTATCCCTCGTGTTTCATGACATCTATCCTGATACCAAAAAGTTCGATGGAAAGATCAGAATGTGTGTTGAATACTATTGGGACTTGAACAAAGCTAGTCTTAGTCCCCTGATTCAATCTATTTTGAAGAAGATACGAAGGAAAAAAATCTGAATGATCTTCTTTGTGATGTTAATGCCAAAATATCGGTTGGATTTAATTTGATTTTAAAATAATAAATTTATAAGATTTTATTATTATTAAATTTGGTTTTAACACGTCTATATGAGACATGCTAGTGTGTCTCTTAATGTATTTGGATATTGGTCCTTTCAATACATGTGGATCATTAGATCAATTTTGGTATTGGAAACTAATGGCTATGATTAAGGGACATGGACCTATCACTCATGTGCATCTGGCATATTGTCTTGAGGCTCTCTATTGCCTAATGGTTTTGAGGTGCTTAGATTCTTTGAATTTCAACACCATAACACATGGGTTCATGTATGTGTTCATGCGATGATTCTCTTAACCTTATACCATTATGCATCTAGTCATGGTGGGCTTTAATGTCATACGTGTGACTATTGAATTGCTTGAGTAAGGTGTTCATCTCATCTCCTCTATAAATAGAGAATGAGAATGAGGGAATTGGCACATTGTTCTTCTTAGATGCCGAAGTTCTACGGGATTCTAATCAGACCAAGTTTATATAGCCTGTCATAGAGGTATACACTGGCGGGTTCAAGACATACTTCTCATCCAGATTGACCAGCCATATTATGTGGACTGATCTTTCTTGGGATCAGACTATTCAATTCGGATCCACTAAATTGATCCAAATGGATTGTCTTTTTAGACAGACCTCGGGATCAATTTTTGACAATCCAAATGGATCGTCTCTTGTCTAGACTAATTGGACAGATTCTGTTGGGTCCATCCTAACTGACTAGTATCTTGAGATAATTCGATCGGATCGTTAATTTTTGGATCGGTCCTTAATTGGACTAATCCATCAACCTGAAACCGCATGTACAAAAGGGTGACTTTAGCGAATTTTTGAACAATCTGCAAACACTTAGTATAATTTAATTTTTAAATTTAGAAGTGTTTTGGTTTATTCGGAAAATAATTTAACCTGATTTTAAACCTTATTTTGTGAGAGCATTTTCATGAGATTAATTTAATTGAAATTAATGTTTTGATGAAATAAAATTAACTTAATTAATTTTATATATGTGTTTAAATTTAAAATTGTGAAGAAATTCAATTTTAATTTAAAATTAATTTTTTTTGGGCATTCTAAAGAGGTTGGGTACCGTCGTCTTCCGCCAAGTAGTGCAAACTTGTAGGAAAAGACCGGATGAATCCGAGCTTGGTTGAATCCTGGAGATAAGAGTTGTCTTATCCCTTACACAATGGGAGGCTTCAACTATCTTCAAGAAAGACTATTCAAGCGCCTCTCTGTTTGAGTGATTCATTATATAATTATTTATTTTATTTCTTTATTAATGGTAGCTAATTGTGCTCTGATTTGTGAATGTTTTTTAGACTAACCATCAACAATATCAAGTCGGCTCATCCATCTTTATGTTGATTGTTACAAGGAGATACAAAGCTAGATTAGTGACTAAAGGATTCCTTCAAGAACATTGAGTCGCCCTCATGCTTCGTCAGTCTAGAATTACGAGTTAAAGGACCTAAGTACACGATAATACCTTTATACCCTTTTCCTTCTTTCAATTCCTTAGTTGACAATTTGACCTTTCCTTTCCTCTCTTTAATAAATAATCTTTGATTTTTGATCTTTTTAGATTGACATTTAGGAACAGATAATACTAGCATTTGACTCATTTGTTCAAAAGTAGCTTCGAAGCATCTTGCTTTAGGTAGCTATCGGGCTTCAGGCATTTCTGAGCGAGCTCTTTAGAGAGTTGGCTCGTAAGCTCGTGTCATAATAGGCTCTGTTTGTAACTCTTCAAAGAAAATCATGTCGCCGTCTTCTAGTTCAAAAAGTCTCTGGTTTTGAATAGTGGCTACGTATGAATGTGAGTTATCACCACGGATTTCTCCTTGGAGGATTCGGTACTGCCATTTAACAATGCATGCCTATCCAAGTAGATTGGCTCCATCGTCCAACTTTGGATAGGCGAAGTTCGTGGGCAAAGGAGAGCCATAAGCGTTTCCTTTAGTGGGATTCAGACCGCAGTTGGACCCGGAGTGTATCCTCGTCGTCGATCCATTCAACATCTACACCAACAAGAAGATGGTGGGATCGCTTGCTATCATGTTCGGAGCAACATACTTGGATTTTTATTAGTAAGATCCGCTCTTCTCGGAAGTTGTTAGCTCTTTCTGATGGTCGTTAACAATTCTAGCCAATTGAAATGATCTTTTGATCAATTCAAAGATCATTTTAATTCCATTAGTAATGAGGATTCGGAATATCACACATTGATCAATCAAAGAGAGATTCAACAACTATAAGAAATATCGATAGTGTCGTTACTTTTTCCTACTACCTTGAGAAACGGTACAAATCATAGATTTGTTTTTTTTAATTTTTGTTTCCTTAACTTGTTGAAGAGGTATCAACGGGCCAATGTTGCGCCCAATGAGAGTTTGAAAAAAAAAATTGAATTCTACATCTGAGACTAGCACTCCTCATACTTTCGAACTATAGCTCAATCGATTTTATATGTTCTCTAAAAAGCATATACCGAACCCAACTTGGGGCCTCTCACCCTGAACCCAAACACCTAATTGATATAGAGTTGGTATCCTTAGTGGGGATATTTTTACAGTTTAGTCACAATCCCTTTTAAAAATTTATGTATTTATAGAATTTGGAGACAAAATTTTCAATTCTGTCCCAAAATTTTAATTCATTTGTTTGTTCATATTATTTTTTTAAAAAAAAGGATGGAATTAGAGTAGTGATTTTAGGGATAAAATATGTAGAATTCAAATCCTTAGTGGGAGGTCTTATTTGACAAATATACAAAATATTGTAGAATTGAAAAAAGAAAAAAAAGATAGAAGCCCGACGGTTCCATCTCTCCCTTCTCTCTCGTTCTCTCCATTCTATCTCTTTGTCCTTCAGTTGTCGCCAAAGAAATGTTGACGATGGATGGCTTGACGTGATTTATTTTTTAAAAAAATTATCCTCCTTCCCCTGTCCTCCAAGGGTTTTCATCTCTTCATTTTCTCACAAATTTATTGTGTTGATTTTATGGATTCATACTCTTCCTTTCCATGACCCAAGCATCCATTACACCCCCAACCCCAAGTAGACTTGTCCATCGCATCCTCATACGTAAGTAACAAACATGGTGTACACATATTAATTCGGTGTGTGGAAAAAATTCGGTATGGGAATTGTTCGTGTATAATTCAAAATAGTTATAGTAATTCGTTCAAAAATTCGGCCAAAAAAAAAGCAAAAAGTCAAAAGTACAATACATGAATAATTCATATCAAGATTAAAAATCCGTTCAAAAATTCGGGTAAATATATAAAATGTATATATAAGGTTACATTTCATCTAGACTTTTATATAATCGAATAGATAAAGATAAATGACCTAAGTGTACAAATAGAATATGAAACAGATATAAATTGCATGTATAAGTTTACCTTTCATTCGATGAGACGGTCAGGCATGCACGTTGTGAGTCCATGAGACCATGGCAGAGAGAGAGAGAGAAAGAGAGAGAGAGTAACCTCTGATCTGATGATGCTCATGCCATGAGTGAGAGTGAGAATGAGTTCGGAGAAAGAGAGACATAAACCAGTAAGTTCCGAGAGAAAGAGGGAATCGAAGGCGTGCGTGGTGGCTGGTGGGGTGGGTAAATAGATCGGATCATAGCCAATCGCGATTAAACTTGAGGAGAGTTCAATCGCACTCACAGGTCAACACATGTCCCTGTTAACCCTTATTAATTATGGTTAAGATTCATCAACCCTTAGGGTTTAATAATCTAACCTTGGTTTTTATAATAAAATATTAAAAAAATATTTTAACTCTGGTTAAGAACTTTTAATCATTAGGATTAGTATTTTTTTAATATATATTTATTTTCTACAAATCAAGGTTAGATTATTGAAGCCTAAGGGTTCTAAATTATAACCACAGTTAATAAGGATTAAAAGGGACATGTGTTCACCTGTGGGTGTGATTGAACTCTCACCGAGTTCAATCGCAGTTGACTGTGTCCGATCTCATGGATAATGGGTTATGCAAGGCAATGAATTATCTCTGGCAGATGCCCGAGGTTACGCCTCAGGTACCTCTCTTTGCATAACGCGTGGGCAGACATTTAATTGAAGATGTGATAACATGCATCGTGCATGTATCGTTGGGCAGTACATG